GGAATTGATAGAAAGTTGGCTTTTAAATTTTTGGCCACTACCCCCCCCCCCCCCCTCCCCCCGGTAAATCGTTTTTCGGTTTTGGGCAAATTTTTATTTTTGTTTTTTTTTTTTTTTTTTTTTTTTTTTTTTTTTGCTTGTCAACTTTTTCAGGTAAGTAAAAAAAAAAATTTCCCATGTCTCCTCGCAACCGTCACTCAGTCGAAAAAATATATTTACGTTCCTTAGTTAATTTGTATTACCTTGCAAAGGAGATGGGGCTCGTTTTTTTGCTCAAGGCAGGCGAAATAAGAACACTTGTATAAGAATATATATTTTGTATATGATAAAAAGATATAAGCATGTATATCCAAAACAGGAGATCATTCATAAACATGTAACTAAAGTAGTAATATATGCGGGGCTGAACACAATCATGACCCTTACAACACAACATATGAAAAAAGATATCTACACAAAACAGCAGATAGGAGACAAAAGGACTGCAGAGATATTAGGCAACACATGTACAAAAATACATGACAAGCCCCCGACTGCTAACACAGAATATTAATTTAAAAAAAGAGCATCATAAACTGCCTGCCCACAGAAAGTAGGGTAGTTTTTTTGTAAGAATTTGATCTTCTTTCAAATACAGATTCTATGTGATGTGTTATCCCTATTGTGGTATATCATTCTATATATATATAGATCTTGCAGACACTGGTTTGAAAAATCTTAAATTTTCACTCAGTAAGGAATCTTTCAATGTTTAACTTACTTTTGTCTAATTTAAACCTATTGGTTCTTGAGAAATTCAATCGTTTTATTTATTTATTAAGGACAGATGATAAAAACAAACATGTCAAAAAATTTGAAAATAACTACTTGGATTATGTTTAAATGAGAAAAATAAGTTTCACCGCTTAGTTTTTAATTTTTTATTCAAAATTTCACAAAAATGTGATTTAAAGTGAAAAATATTTGTATAGATTAATAAGGATGGTTTTAGAAGGGCAAACTTTTGAACATCACAGAAGGTTTACAATTTATTCATATTCTAGAAATTTATTATTTGCATCATTTGCAATAAAATTGGGCCAAAAATACATACCGATCCAGGCATTCACCCTTAATTATCACCTATTTAAAGAAGGAATGATGTTTTATTCAAACATTGAACCCCTTTCGTCCAAGAATGTTTTCTGCCCAAATCAAACATTATAGTTTACATATTCCACATGGCTTCGAGGGTGACATACCAGAATGTTTGACCCGAGATCACAAGAAAGTTCTGGAGTGTAATGTTACCCGGCCTCAGGATCATGAAACAAACTTGTACTTAAAGGTACTTGGACACAGATTTAAAGTTAATATTTTCTGTATAATATCACGAATTATATATTTTAATAGCATTTCACACAAAAATTGATTAAAAATCTTATTTCATTTAAAAGTTATTAAAACTTGAATTTTTTTGGCGGGTTTGATTGACACATCCTTGCACTTTCACAAATTCTAGCTTTATTCTTAATCCTTAGGAAAAGTGGCAGTCTTGTTGTGTATTAATGAGAAATATTAAGACTTTAATCCAGAAAAATAATTTTATTCAGAGTAGAAATGTTAGAAAGCAAAACTCCTTCACAAGTACATTGTATCGTCATTCCGAGCTAAGTGTTGTGTACAGAATTTAGCAAATCGATCACACTCGTGTTATGTACACAGTTTTTTGTAAACAGGGCACGACCTCTGTTATTGTTGATGTTTACGATTCAAATCTGTGTCCGAGTACCTTTAAGGTAAGTTCGCACTTTCAAAATTTTCTGTCAAACTGATATTTTTTTTAAATTTGAATACCTTGGATAAAGCCATAAACTTCTAAATCACATATAAAAGACATTTCTTTGCAGGTTAATTTTCATAGAATATGCCTCAGAGAAAATACCTCTAAAATTCAATTGTCAAAATTGAACATAAAGAAGTGTGATATAATATTTCATTAAGCTGTGCACCAAATCACATCAAATTTATGTTAAAACTAATCAAAATCAAAAATATTCATTTGCCATAATTGTATAAGAATATATATTTTGTATGTGATAAAAAGATATATATACAAAACAGGGGGTCAATCATAAACATGTAATTAAAGTAGTAATATGTGGGGCTGAACACAAATTGAAATTTTTGTTGGAAACATTAACAAATTAATGTTGAATCTGGCCACATCTTTCAGAAAAATATCTCAAAATATCTTTATTTTTAATTTTGAATTCTAAACTGTTTATATGTAATTTTTTAAACTATTAGAAAGTATATCTAAGGTTAACAAAAAAAAAAACAACTTTATTATGATCAACCAAATAAATTTAACAAAACAGCCTTATGAACACGTATTACATGTATAGTATGCCCCCATTTTTCAATTTTTTCAATCATTATTTGCAAAATTTAAAAAAAGTAAAATTTAAAAAGATGATTTAGGCTTACAATCAATAAGAATAGGTCTCAAGTTAGTTTGTAATTTTTTTTTGAAAAAAAAACCTTTGGGTCCATGAAAGCCATTTAGAATGTTGTGTCTGTGTATGTACTAAATGATATATATATCCCATAGACAAAGAGCAAAGTGTTAATTTCTAAAAATAATATTAATGTATATTGAATGCTTTGTATGCACAATGACACTATAATAAAGACATATACTTGCTAAATTATTTCATCGAACATTTTTTTTTATCACATTAGACATGTGATAATCAGATTGTAATATTGGTGTGTAAAATTAAAACCGGATGCGTAAAAGTATGGACCTTCCTTAAGTCAAATTTTCAATCGCCTATAAAAATATTCCTAAATTTGCAGATAACAATACCTCTGTGAAATAATATTGAAAAATATTTCAATTTTTGTCTGCTTAACTTCTACAACGTTTTATTATCAAATATAGATTTTTACTTAAGCTTAGGACGTTTCATGATCCCAGGGTCCGATTTCGCAGGAGATGACTTTTCTGTCACCGAGGGGCAAACATTCTGGTAGAGTCATCCAAGAAGCCATGTGGTGTATGTCATATACATGTAACATTCAGGAATTTAAGAGGGAAACCTAATTAGTATTCAAAAAAGTTATTTATCTTATGTTTCAGATTCATGTTTACATTATCAGCCGTTGGTGTACCATGAAGGATTTGGAGATAACAAACAGTATTCAATATCAAAGTCCATAAAACAATACAAAATAGGAGCAGGGCAAACACGGACCTCCAAAACATCAGAGGTAGAATCAGGTGCCATGAAGGAGTGAGCATCCCTGTCCACCGGTCACACCCGCCGTGTGCTCCTTGTCATTATTGGGAAATAACGGAAAAATCCGTAGTCAATTCAGTGTATAAATAATGGACTAACAATAGTATGAAAAACGTCAGCCAGCATTTGACTCAATGATAAATTATATTTGTTAACAAGGCCATGGTATGACAGGTATCGACCATAGAACTTACGAAATGATGACTTTAAACGAGACTGTTGATAGTTTTGTTTCATCAACTTGTTTGTCAATAATTAACCTCGATTTAGAAATTGTTCATGACGTTTTGTGTTGTGTATGACATGGTGTTTTTCATAAATAATTGAGATGACTACTCGTGTTTTTGATGGCTCGTCTAAACAATTTATGTTATGTGATTTGATATACACTATATTCGATTTATCCACCAAGTTAAAATGGAGTATATACATCATTTCAACGATCTGGATAAAGAAATACACTGTGGAACGCCGTAACTGCCTTATGTGCAGAACCTATATTATATGCTGGTACTTTGACATTATATGATGGTACTTTGTCATTATATGATGGTATTTTGTCACTATATGCTGGTAATTTGCCATTATGTGATGTTATTTTGTCATTATATGATAGTAATTTGTCATTATATGATGGTGCTTTCTCATTATATGATGGTATTTTGTCATTATATGATGGTATTTTTCATTGTACTACTTTTCATTTTACTCCTTTTCTTTATACTACTTTTCATTATACTACTTTTCATTATATGCTATTACTTTTTCGTCATTATTTGTAGTCTCGATCATCCAGACGCTTGTCTCTAAAACGCAAATTCGCTGTTCCTAGACTGGCAGTACGAAATCGAGGATCAGACAGGCAAGCCAGTCTAGGTGTCGTAACAGTATTTCACTTCAAATCATGGCTGACGCAATCTTCCCTTCGCGGAACAGCGTAGATGCAGATTGCACAACAGTATTAAATTCTGCTATATATTCTAACCAAAATATCAAAGCATTGCAATCTCGTCACGAACAGCTGACAAACACATCGATCGGCGCTGTTGTAGTTCAATGTAAGCTGTCGCCAGTGTTAGGATGTAATGGATGTTAATTAGTCTGACCTTTTTGTGCACTTGTGCATTACGTCATCACTTTTGTTACTTCAATAATATGTTGAACTGAAACATGGTGTCAGAAGTGAAGCTCTCAGCAAAAGAATACGCCACGACACCTGAATCCTGAACAGTAACGGGACAAATTCCTTACGACTTGTGAGAAAACAAAGCCAAGATATCGGGTATAGTAGCACAGCCCCGAGAATCCTTGTATTTTCTTCACCTTTGCTCGCTGAAGTAAAACGTCCCAGCATCACACGTGGTTGGCACGCCGCCATTTTTTTTCTACCCAAGAATGCGCATACTTCTATTATGGTGTAGAATTGACATTGTGTTACAATAACTGTATGAAACTCTCATGCAATATTAATCCACATTAATATATGAGACGTGCCTTTGACACACATACATTTTTTGCCATACAAAGCCACGGAACTGTTCATACTCAAAGCACAGTGGCCTCTAAACACTTACCTGTACCAGCCGATATGGTAGTGAAAGGTAACATCAGGGGCAACTGGAAATTTTTCAAATCACAATGGGCCAATTATGAAATTGCCACAGGCCTTGTCAAGAAGGAGCAGCCTATTCGGATAGCAACAAAATACTGACAGTGATGGGTAAAGACTGTTTCCAAATATATGAAAACTTACCACTCAGTGTTCAAGACAGAGAAGATATTGACAAAATTCTAGAAGCATTAGATGGTCACTTCATGCCCAAAACAAATGTGATCTACGAACGATATATCTTTAATACGGCAGACCAGATGCCTAATGAATCGATTGACGATTACTTGTGCAGACTACGAGAACTTGCGAAGACATGTGAATTTGGTGATATTACGGACCAAATGATTCGCGATAGGATAGTACTTGGAACCAAGGACCAATATGTTCATGGACGATTGCTCAGAGAATCTAAGCTCACACTTAACAGCACCATAGACATCTGTAGAACCAGTGAGAGAACTTCCAGTCAGCTTAAGAAACTACAAGGACAAGGACAGAGTGACACTAATAATACAGCTCAAATCAACTACGAAGCACGAAGAAATAAGAAGCACATGAAAGATACGAAGCAGCAGAAAAAGTCTTCAACAAAGCCGCCAAAATACCCAAGCAAAGGAGATCATAAATGTAAATACTGCGGTGGAAAGCATGCAAGAGGAAGAAACAAGTGTCCGGCTTATGGACAGATGTGCAACAAGTGCAAAAAGAAAAATCATTTCGCTTCAGTGTGTCAGAGTGGTAGCAAGACTGTTCTTCAACTTGATGAAACTGATGACAGTAGTGATTGTGAGTCTTGTTACACAGTGAAGGCGACACATGGTAAACAGTGGTTTACAAAAGTCAACATGTTGATCGACGACGAAACTCGTCAAGATGTTATCTGTCAACTGGACTCTGGATCAACATGTAACATTCTTGGATTTCGGCAATACTGCATTCTTACCCAAAATGCTTGTCCGCCATCGAAACCAACCAGCAATGCTGTACAATTTTATGGTGGAACATCAAAGCTCGAGCCCTTAGGTACCGTTGACATTACCTGCTCAGTACAAAGCAACACAGAATGTCTGAACTTTTATGTGGTGGATACAGATCAAACCGCATTGCTCTCGGCTGAAACATGTAAAAAGTTAGGGCTGTTAACTGTGAATATTGTGAACAGTGTTGATACATCAGCTGAGAAGAGCTTTGAACCACTGACGCGCAGTCAGCTGTTGACCACATACCATGCTGTATTCGAGGGACTAGTATCTTTCCCAGGCGAGTACAAGATTGAAATTGATCCTACTGTTAAGCCAGTTCAGCATCAACCAAGAAATGTTCATCAAGCCATGAAGCAGAAAATTCACACGAAGCTGAAGGATCTCGTAAACAGAGGTGTGATCAAGAAAGTTACTACTCCTACAGTCTGGATAAGTACATGTAGCATGCTAACAGTGAAAAAACCTGATAAGCTACGCATATGTATTGATCCCAGAGACTTGAACAAAGCTATCAAGCGACCGCACTATATCAATCCTACCCTTGGGGACATATTACCGAATCTTGCGAATGCAAAAGTATTCTCCGTCCTTGATGCAAAAGAAGGATTCTGGCACATCAAATTAGATGAATCAAGCAGTTTCCTTACTACGTTCTGGACCTCTTTTGGTCGATATAGATGGTTGCGTTTACCCTTCGGAATTTCATCAGCGCCTGAAGAATTCCAGCTCAGACAACACGAAGTGTTGGAGGGACTATCTGGAGCAGAATGTGTGATGGATGACATCATAGTCTACGGCTGTGGACAGACCATGGAATCAGCAATTCGAGATCATGACCGCAACTTGACGGCAGTTCTACAAAGAGCATTCGTGAGGTGGGACTAAAGCTTAATAAGGACAAGTTCAAACTTCGTCAGACTGAAGTCAAATACATGGGCAGTTTACTTACGGCTGAAGGTGTCCGCCTTGATCCGGACAAAGTTAGTGCCATTACAAACATGAAAAGACCTGAAAATGTGAAAGCAGTGCAACGCTTTATTGGTCTAGCAACATACTTGTCTCGATTCTTGCCTCACCTATCAGAAACCTGTGAACCTTTGCGACTTCTCACAGACAAAGGAGCCATATGGTCTTGGCAATCGCAGCAGGAAGAAGCATTTCAGAATGTCAAACGTCTCGTGAGTCATCAACCCGTACTCAAATACTATAATGTACATCAGGAAGTCACAATTCAGTGCGATGCTAGTGAAGTTGGCCTCGGAGCCACATTAATGCAAAATGGACAGCCCATTGCTTATGCCTCTCGTGCATTATCTAAAACTGAACAGTGTTACGCACAGATAGAGAGAGAGTGTCTTGCAATTGCTTTTGCATGCGAGAGATTTGACCATTACATATACGGTAAGGATTGCATTACAGTACAGTCAGACCACACGCCTCTTGAAACGCTCTCTTGTCAGCTCCAAAAAGACTCCAGCGAATGTTACTTCGCCTCCAGAAATACAACCTGGATGTTGTTTATAATAGAGGAAACGAGTTGTTCATCGCAGATACCTTGTCTCGCGCGACTCCAGAGTATCATGGACAGCACACTTCCAAACTTGCTGAGGAGATAGCACACATTCAACAGGCAGAGTGGGTTAGAAAGGTCACAGATAAGACTGAATCAAATCCGAGATTTGACAAAGAAAGATGAGACTCTCCAGTCACTAAAGACAGTGATACTTTCAGGATGGCCTGATACTAAGGAAGATGTTTCTATTCCAGTATGACCATATTGGAATGTCAGAGACTCTCTCACAGTGCAAGATGGTATTATTCATCGTAGCAGCCGCGTTGTAATTCCCTAAGCTCTTCGACCAGAAATGCTACGCCGCACTCATTCCAGTCATTTAGGAATTGAGGCTTGTCTATGGAAAGCTAGGGATATGCTGTATTGGCCTCTCATGAATGAGGAAATCAAGGATTTCGTCAGCACGTGTAGCACATGCAGCACGTTTCAACGGAAACAACAGAAAGAACCATTAATGACACACGATGTCCCAGACCAGCCATTGTAAAAACTTGGAATTGACATCTTTACTCTAAAGACTGAGGATTACCTTGTCACAGTTGAATTTTACTCAGATTTCTTTGAGCTCGACCTTCTTCTAGATACCACGGCAGCCACAGTAATCAACTGTTTGAAATAACATTTTGCACGTCACGGAACACCAGATGTTGTAATTACCAACAACGGCCCGCAGTTCAAATCAATAGACTTTCATGATTTTTCATGTAACTGGGAGTTTCAGCATGTAACCTCCTTCCCGTATCATAGTCAGTCAAACGGGAAAGCAGAAGCAACGGTGAAAATCGCAAAGAACATGTTGCGCAAGGCTAAGAAGAACGGAGATGATCTGTGGAAATGCGTCTTAGATTGGAAGAACACCCCAACAGTGGACATGGCCAGCAGTCCATCACAACGACTCATGTCACGAAGGACTCGACATTCCTTACCCTTGACGCCGGAACTACTCCAGCCCAAACTTGTGGACGATGTAGCGGATGAAGTTAAGTACAAGCGACAAAAGGCCAAATTCTACTACGACAAAACTGCTAAGGAACTATCAGAACTCGAAAGTGGTCAACCAGTTCGAATGAAACATCATACATAAAAGAAATGGAGTTACGGTTCTTGTGTGGATAACATCGGAAATCGCCCTTACATCGTAGATATCAACAATAAACAATATCGAGGAAACTGAAGAGACCTTCGCGCAACAATTGAGCCTTATGATGCTACCACTCCGCAGTTTATTCCAGAATTCGAGGATACACTTGATGCGCCCTCAGTAACTTCCGAAAAACCCAAAATGAAAGACCTTAAAGTTGCTAAAATACCAACCCCTCAAAAGCCGAGTGAACCATGCACCGTTACCGCCAGCCCAGTTAACCGCCGAACAAGTTCACGTGCACCAAGGTTACCAAAGTAACTCGAGGACTATGTTCTGTGAATATGATATTTGTGAAAAGTATAATTTCTGTTTTGCAATTATTTTACTGAACTTTTTCAAATGCAGAAAGTTTCATGTGAAAATGTACATGTATGCTGTATTAGTTTTCATTTCTTTATTGCAGAAACTTATGCTTTATGTTTCAAGATTTGTTTACGTAGCAGAAACATTTTGATTGATATTGTCTAAAGTTTAAACTTGTAAATGAATTTTTAATGTAATTGCCATTCATTTGCAAAGGAAGGGAGATGTTAGGATGTAATGTATGTTAACTAGTTTGACCCTTTTGTGTACTTGTGCATTACGTCATTACTTTTGTTACTTCAATAAAATGTTGAACTGAAACAGCCAGTGTCTCCGTGTTTACATCATAAATAAGACTTTATTTAGTGAAATCGTAGATTGAATGTTTTTGATCAATTTTAATACTTGTTTGCAAATTAACTGGCTCGGACAAGTGTCTCCATCCATCAGATCCATCAATCCCTTTCAGGCGACCGAAATTCCTCCAACTTTTTATCATCAGACTTCGGACGTGTTTCTTGTGTCTTTTCAGCAATGATAATCATTTTTCACAAATAAAAATATTTCCAGACAACAATCTGTTCACTATTACTGATCACTAATAGCCTTTAACAAAATATTCCCTTCGAAATAGAATTCTTAGCCTGATGAATTCGAAGCGTAACCGCCTTTCAAGCCGATTTACACATTACGTACTTTTGTCGGAAATCTACGGCGACCTGTCAGTGCAATATTTAAATCCGAAGATATTTAACTGTCCATCTCAAATGTATATATAAGTAATAAATAACAAGTTCAGGATTTGATCACGTGACCAATCCACTTCAATTCCCATTGAAGTTTATAAACTTGTTAATTACTTCTTAATAATGTGATTTGATATTGGCTTTATATAACTCATTGAAATGCAAACCTCGCGAATATACTCCATTCCGGTTCGCTGGATAAAGTCAATATCAAATCACACAATATAGATATCCTCTATTGACAAAGCTTTGAGATAACCCCGTGAAAGTATGAATGATTGCTATCCAATTTGATGATGCATAATAAAATTAATGTCGTCTTTGTTGATGTTGATATGCTGAAAGAAAGTAGACTATATAAGTAAATAAAAATATAAATTTTGATATGCATGTTCGTCTTTTGTCAACATATGTAACAGTCTGTAGGGGATTTATTTGACTATTGACTGAAGGATCAGATTAATGTTCTAATGTTACTATAAAATAATTTGTTCTACGGCGATGAGCTCAGTCAGTCTGGATGCTATGCAACTTGTAGTCTATATCCATGGTAAAGTATAATGTATACGAGGGTTGTCCAAAAATTTCGTAGACTGAGCTCATATCTTTTAAAGAAATTAATGCATCTTTATAAAATTTTCAGGGTAGATAAAGCGTGTTCTTGGCAGATAAATTACGAAGTTTTATCATGTTTACTTGAACACTTTTTGAGTTATAACATAAAAGTGATATCGTTCTCTAACACCTGGAGCAATCTGCAACGTCAAAAAATACTAATGTTAACGGTTCAGATTTTTGGAGAAAATATTTCAATTACCAGAATCAAATTCTTAAATTAAACGAAACAGTTATAGTTATAAATGTGAAATATCTTAAGAACTATGATATGATCAAACATTAAAATATGTAAACAAAGTAAATGCATGTACAGGTATGAAATAATAATAATTTGAAAATGCTACATTTCTATGGGCTTTTCGTCGGTTTTCTCTAATGGAGTTGCAGAATGGAACTCTTGCCCATTTCTTAGCCCTGTCTTTTATTTTAGTTATTACTGTTATTCAAATATACAAAGAGAAACTAAGTACTAAGGACTAGAAAAAAGTTTCCTAGTCTACCAAACATTTATGACTGGTACATTTCTTTAAGAGTGAAATCGGGATCAAAACACTTGATCATAGTCCAGTACGCTGCCTGTGCCAACGCAGCCGCCATTTTTCAAAAAGTCGGATTTAAACCCCATGCATATAAAACGTTATAAAATTCATATTTATCAAAGCATAAACACCAAAATTTGAGGAAATATAGTTAATAAAGCAGTATTAAGAATTTTCATTTCCATTCAAAAAATACAGGGTAGTAATTACTTTCCGTAGGATTTTAGATATAATATTATACCTAATTTTAATTGCAACTTTTGGGTATTGCGCCGCCTTCCTACACTCGACAATGAAATGTGTCTTTTAAAATGGAATAATTTGTGTAGTTACTCCATATTTGTCCATAAATTTATTAGATAATGTTGGTTTAATCTATATACAAAGTTTCATTAATGTATGACATAGGGTTTCTACAAAACAACGCTTGTCTACGGAATTTTGGGACAACCCTCGTACAGTAGAATGTAAGACAGCATCGTTGAAAGTGGTATAAGACTTTTCTGCATTGCTAAATAGCTACAGTATCAAACGTATCTCATGAAAACGGTAGGGGGTTAGGGTGGCAACATCCTTCTTCGCAGTAACCAGTACAGATAGACTCATTGAAAAAAGTGAAAATTCACTGACGGATACGTCTTTTCCTTGCTTTTAAGGAAATGTTTAGTCATTATCATTCATTTTTAAGGCCAGAATTTCACGAATAGACATTTCGATGAATTCAAATTTTGAAGCTGGGGGGTATGTCAAAACCGGAAGTGCTATTGATATGGCACCTTCGCGTGAATAAAGCATAGGTTAACTCTGGGGAGTATCATCCACACGTATGAGATAAAAATATTTTTTCAAATGATTACCCATTAATGAGTGCATATCGGTTAATGATATCGTTTTCATATAACTAGTTGTGACGTCATAATGGTTTATAATTTATTGAAGTCAAACAGAAAATCAGACTAAGT